AAACAGTCAAGCCGGGCCGGTGTGGCTCTGTGCTTGAGCATTGACCCACGGGCCAAGAGGTCATGGTTTGACTCCCCGTCAGGGCACTTGCCTGCGCTTTGGGCTCGATCCCCAGTAGAAGGCATGCAGAAAGCAGCCAATTGATGATGTTTCTCTCTCATCAATGTTTCTATCTCGCTAAGCTCTCCCTTCCTCTCTCTCTAAAATCAATAAAAACATATTTTTTAAAAAAGAGTAAGTCGAGTAGGCTCTCCGTCATGCTCTGCCTCGGGGACTCTAAATCCAGGAGCTCTCTCTAAGCCTGCCTCTTCCCAAAGTTCTAACAGCTCATACATATTCATAATGGGAGAAAACACTAAAGAGATATCTATTTTGTTTATTAAACTGGCGTCTCAGCAAATTTATAACAGAAAATGAATGTCTGTTTCCTCCTGGGCTTCCACAGTGTGAGAGTTGAGTTGATGGTGCCTTCTTGCCTGGCAGGGGGAGGTACAAGGGGGTCTCGGCCATCACCCGGCTAGAGTTATCCTGGAGCAGCGCCCAGGGCAAAGACAGGGCCTGCCAAAGGGAGAGGATGCCCACGGGGCTTGGGAGGCTCCATAAACAAGACCCCTCTCTTCTCTACCAGGTAAAAACAACCCAATGGGACAGAGACCCGGTAATTACAAAGAGGAGACAGCAAAAAAGCTATTTTAGCAAAATGTTCTATGGGCTTGCTAATACCCCCCTACCCCAGTACTGAATTTATTCCTTAAGAATTACCCCAAATTATCATAACTTGGAAATACTACAAAAAGATGACTTTTTGTTCTCTCAATGCTCTATTGGATGATTATCTAACTCACCCACCAAGATTGATCTAATTCTCTAGGAGAAATGAGACTTCGCTTGACTTTTATTGACTATGTATTAGGGCCTCGATTCATTGACATTGCATGTCAATTTGTCTGATAGGGTTGCAAATGACATCTGTTTGCTGGAGAAGGTAACTACAAAGACTATAGTTTAATTGCAGGGTGGGATATTAACCAGTTTTGCACCTAATTTAATCAACTTATTTCAGCATTCCTCTCCTGTCTATAAATCTCTTCACCAAATGCGCTTAAAAGCCAGCTCTAGCCTTTCCTGGCTAATGAGTTAAGCAGATCTTTGACACATATTCATTCCACATTTCCGTGGAAGTCATGTTTTTAACTTTTTTGAAAATTATACTTTGACGCACTTCCACTCCCAGATAGCAAGCCTGCTCTGAGAGCCAGCTGGTGTCTGGCTAAGCAAATAGAGGAGCTCAGAATGCAGATTACAAGGCAGAATCCAGGAGGGAGTCACCACTTCCACTCAGTTCCTTCTCTAAAATCACGAATCCAGTAAGTCACCCCCTTTCTTCTCAGGTGGAATGAGAAAGGGATGCAGGAAGAGACCAGGAGTGCTACCCTCCCTCGAGAAGTCCTTCTCATGGAAGCCAGAAGAGTGGAGAATATGTCCCCACCTAACTGGGCCCACATGAGGAACAGTCACAAGCCCAGTGGGAAGCCAGGCACATGGCTGGTGGCCAGTGGAGAAGGAT